CATTAAATGTATTTATGGCTACCAGTCCCCATACAGAAGTTCATAATTTTGTTGTGCTATAGGTTGTTAATTTTAAACTTTATGTGTAAGATATTTGTATCCTGGCTAGAAAATCTTTGCTTTATTCTGGATCATAAAAATATTCTTGTATATTTTTGTCTAGAAACATTACTATTTTACCTTTTACACTGAGAGCTATAATCGAACTAGAATTGATACTTATGTATGAAGTAGAATCAGTATCTTTTCCCCCATGACTATCCAGTTGAGCCAAAACCATTAGGTGGAAAAGACAATTCTTTCCCCATCTATCTTAAATTCCAAACTATATATGTGTGGCTCTATTTTTACACTCTCTTATGACCTATTTGTCTATATGTAGCAATATCATTGTGACTTAATTACTGTAACATTAGAACAAGTCAATATCTGGCAGTGTAATTTCTTCAGCTTTGTTCTTGAAGATTATCTTTAATATTCTTGCCTCCTTCCCTTTCCATGTCAACTTTGAAATATGCTCCTAAGTTTTTATTCTGCTGATTTTGATTTGAATTGCTTTGAATCTGTAGGTCAGTTTGGAGAAAATTCATCTTCCAATATTGTCTTCCATTCCATAAATATGGAATATTCATCCCTTTATTTAGTTCTTTTGAAAGTCTTCTCAATAATGGTTATAATTTTCAGTGTGTGTGTTTTGCATATCTTTTATTAATTTCCAAATATTTGATTATTATTTTGATGTTATTGTAAATGTTTTAAATTTTTTTCTATTTTTTTTCGGCTGGAGAATGAAACTCTAATTGGTTTCCATATACTGACATTATATTCTCACTGCATTCACATGTTTATACTAATAGTTTGTGAATTCTTTTGGATTATGTACATGCACAATTATGACATCCACAAATAACGAGTTTGGTTTCTTCTTTTCCAATTGTTTTATACTTTAAAGAAATTTTCTTACATTTTTGTTATTGTTCACTCACTAAGTCATGTCCTACTCGTTGAGACCCCGTGACTGCATACAGCATTCCAGGCTTCCCTGTCCTTCTCTATTTCCTGGAGTTTGCTGAGACTCATGTCCACTGAGTCAGTGATGCTATCTAACCATCCCATCCTCTGCCACCCTCTTTTCCTCATGCCCGCAGTCTTTCCCAGCATCAGGTTCTTTTCCAGTGAGTTGGCTCTTCCCGTCAGGTGTCAAGTACTGGAGCTTTCTTGTATTATTTAGGACATGTAGTACAGTGTTTAATAGAAGTAGTGATTATGTTTTTTCCTTTTTTTCCTTTTATTTTTTATTTTTTTAATTTATTTTTTTTTTCATTTATTTTTATCAGTTGGAGGCTAATTACTTTACAATATTGTAGTGGTTTTTGTCATACATTGACATGAATTAGCCATGGATATACATGTATTCCAATCGTCCGACCTTTCTTTCCTTTTAATATAGTGAACTACATTGATTTGGGGATGTTAAACTCATCTTACTTTCCTGTAATAAACTTTATTGGTCATTATTTTTTATTAGAATTTATTGTCAGTATTTACCTACAAGTTATTTGTTAATTTATTATTAACAAAAAGGGTTACCCTTTTATATATTACTAGTTATGATTTTAAATTATTTTTATTTATGATTATGTTTTGGTATTTATGTCCAGGAGAGGTGAGTTTTTTTCCTTGTAATGTCTTTGTCAGATCTTGGTTTTAATTTTATGCTAGCTTTATAAAATACATTGAGAAATACTTCCTCTATTCTGTAACAGTTTATGTGAGATTGCTGTTATCTAATTAGTCAGATGTTTGATTTTCTGATGTGGCAGTTTTGTTTCAAGGAACCTGTCTATTTCAACTAGCATTTTGAAAGTTATTGACATAGGTTTTTTTTTTTTTTACAGTATTGTCTTATTTCTTCCATTATGTAGAGAATCTGTGGTGAGTCTCATTCCTAACATTGATTATTTGTCCCTACTCTTTTTTTTTTCCTTTAATCATTCATGTTGGAGGGCTATCAATTTTATTAAACTTTTCAGAGAAACACTGGCTTTATAAGCCACTAATACATAATTTCATTCTCATATCATTAACATCTGCTCTTGTCTTTATTATTACCATCTCTGTTCTTTCTCTGGATTCAATATGCTTTTCTTTTTTTAACTTTTTGAAATGGATGGTTAGATCAGTGATTTTTCATCCAATTTTTCTGTTACATACAATTTTAACTCCATAAATTTCTCTCAAAGCATGCCTTAAATTTCATTCCATAATGCTTAATATGAAATCTTTTCCTTCATCATTCAGTTAAATTGTATTATAATTTTCATAGTGATATATTATTTGACTTACAGTATATTTCCAAGTGTAGTGTCCAAGTATGTCAGAATTTTCAAGAAATCACATCATTTTATACCTTAATTCTACTGTATTCAGAGAACATTATATCATTTCAATGTTTTGAAATTTGTGAAAACAATCTGTGGCAAATTTTGGAAGAGTATGATATGTAGTCTTCTGTTGTTGGGCACAGTGTTCTACATATATCAATTAGGTCATGTTTATTAATGGTTTTATTCAAAATTATAGCCTTACTGAATTTTATCTCCTTATTCTGTTACCACAAGAGACCTGATAAAACTATCACTATGACTGTGGAGTGTCTGTATTTTTTCTATTCTTGTCAACTTGTGAATTACATATTTTGAAGCTTGGTGGTTAGGTACACTAACTTTTAGAATCATTAGCTCTTGTAGTGACTTGACCTCTTTGTCATTGTGAAACTCTTTCTTGAAGATGTCTCTCCACTGTCTTCTGGCTTCCATTTATTCTGTTGAGATGTCAGCTGTCAGACTTATTTTTGTCCCTTAGAGGGTAACGTGTCTTATTTGTCTGTTTTCAACCATTTTCTCCTGTTTTTTCATCAATTTGACTATGATGTAATTAGTAACTTTCTTCTGCTTAAGCTTCATGGTGCTTTGTGAATCTAAAAAACTGTTAACTTCTTAGACTCCTTAGAAGTGTTTTCTGCCTCTGTAACCTCATCCCATCCCTGTAACTCTCCCTTCTTCCATACACATCTCCTGTCTGGAGTTTTTCATTGGATAATTTTACAATTGTTTAATTGTTTTATAAGTTAGTACATCAAACTTTTCTTTTTCAGTCAATTCTTATTTATATTTACTAATAAGCTTTACTGATCATTTCATCATTACTGCTTCTTGCAGCTCCTTACTTTCTCGTGCATTTATATTAGTTCTTTTTCAGTATACCCTTAAGTAGTTTATTTTTCTAGTCTTTGAATGGTCATGTTTCTGTCATTTTGTCTCTGAGAAAAATTTTTTTTCACTGATTACTGATTGTTAATTTGATCTTAGATTGTTTATAAGTTGACAAGTGATCATTGATTGGTAGTGAATAATTTGGTTTTAGAATTCTAGGTTAAAAACTATTGTCCCTCATCATCTTAAAGGTGTTCGTTTTCTTGTATCCATTATTACCTATGAGAAATCTGATGCCATTCTGATTCTCACTCCTTTGTTGGGAATCATCTTTTTTCTGATAACTTTTAGAATTTCTCTTTGTCCATGATGTTGCATTTTTTTATGATGTCTGCTCAGAACTTTATGAATATTTTTAGACTGAGTACTTCTGTCTTTCCCACATTGCACAGCTCATGGGATCTTAGTTCCCTGACCTGGGATCAAACCTGCACCCCTTGCAGTGGAAGCACAGAGTCTTAACCACTAGACCATCAGGGAAGTCCCTCTTTTCTTTCTCTTTAACGCCATGTAATACTGGCATTTCTTCTGGGAATACTGCTGTTCCCCACAAGCTTAATCTTTGTTTTCCCTCTATTTTTCTCTTTGTGTTACATTCTGGGACTTTTCCTCAATTCCCTCATTTGTTCAATCAGTAGAGAAGAAAAGAAAGAAGGGAGAGGACTTGCTGAAATAAAATAACCTGGAAGTAAATTTATCTCTGTCCATAACTGCCTTCTCACGCCAGCGGTGCACCTTCTCTCTGTTAACTAGGTGCAGCAAGGCTCATATGCAAACACTGTGGATTTGTGTACATTTTGAGTTTCTGTAATTGTACTTTCAGAAGGATCTGCTAAAAGATGCTTAGGGATGTTGTTATTAAAAATGTAAGATTCCTAATTATGTGCCATGTTGTAAGCAAACCCAGATTACATCTCAGTTCCTGTTCTCATAGAGATTAAAATCATATGTATCAGGAAGAAAAAATGTTAAGCAAACTAAAAACTCTGAAAAAATTGGTACAGATGAATTTATTTGCAAAGAAGGAATACAAGGACGTAGAGAACAAACTTAGAGATACCAAGCAGGGAAGAAGGGGTGGGATAAATTGGAAGACTGGGATTGACATATATACACTGCTGCTGCTGCTGCTGCTAAGTTGCTTCAGTCGTGTCCGACTCTGTGCGACCCCATAGACGGCAGTCCACCAGGCTGCCCTGTCCCTGGGATTCTCCAGGCAAGAACACTGGAGTGGGTTGCCATTTCCTTCTTCAATATATACACTACTATGTATAAAATAGATAACTAATAGGACCTTACTGTACAGCACAGGGAACTCTACTGAATGCTCTGTGATGACAAATGGGAAAGAAATCCAAAACAGGGGATGTATGTATACAAGTGGCTGATTCACTTTGCTGTACAGTAGAAACTAATAGCATTGTATAGCAACTATTTGCCAATAAAGTTTTTTTTTAAAAGCCCGCCTACATTTTTGTGAACTCATTCACAAGCATGGCATTACCTGGAAAAATGACTCCAGGAGAATGGTTGAAGATCTTCTGAAATCCCGTTTATGACAAATTTAATTGAAAAGCTATCACATCTTAACATTCTGGGAATCGAGAGTGTGTTGTGATAGACGTGTTTGTCTCCCTAGGTGACTTGTATTCACCTCATGTTGAAAGATGTGGAAGGCGCTGTTTCATTGCATGCAGACATGTTATCACAGTTCTTTCTGTTCAGACCAGGTACACTGTGGCTAAGGACAGTGTGGTCCAGTTCTTCTTCTACCAGCCGATCAGCCATCAGTGGAGACAAACTGACTTCTTTCCCTGCACTGTGACGTGTGGAGGAGGTGAGGCACAGACTTCGTTCCTAAATATTTAGAGCTCAGAGTTAAAAATGACATGTTTGTGTTTTTAAAGCTGACTTTAAAGGTAGTGTGCTAATTAGAGACGTGTAACCACGCATCTTCCTCCACGGCCTGGGGCAGAGTGGGGTTAATGAACATGCATCTGCCTTATTCTTGAAAACAGGTGAAAACTGGATTTAGAGAACACATTTTCCTTTGAGCAAAGAACTGGAAACATGTTTGCATGTCTCTCATGGACCTCAAAATAAGAGCAAAGAGATAGGGAGGCTTTCAAATTCTATGTCTTTTAAAATTCTAATCCTGAAGAATTCTTTTTGATTCTAATTATCCATGAGAAAAACAACAAATGTCTCTTTAGTTTTAATTTATTTTCTAGCTTTCACACACAGTTAAATATGTGTTTTCATTTGGACACTGAAGTTAAAAGAGACGCTTTCCATTCTGGGAGGGACATGTACAGTGGGACTCAGCTTAGTTCAGTTGGCTCAGTTCTTGGGAGGAGAATAGGTTTTCTCATATCTGGATGCCCAAGGAAAGCCACAATCAGCCCTGCTGGTCGGGATTCCAACCTTCAAAGGAATCGCCTGGCTGTGAGTCTGTCACCAAAGACGGCATTGCCTGTGAGGACAGAAGGAACATGTTAGGCTCCTTTCGGAGTTTCCTCCAACATCCTGCCATTTTCTGTACACCAGCAGAATTTTAGTACATTTGTTCTTAATGTAGGAAAGCAGTCTGTCTTATTTCTTTTTCTTTTAGTTATCTATGTACTGTGACAAAATTAAGGAGGAAAATTAATTGTCTCTCTCCCCAAATTATAAACACCTGTATGCTCTTTGTCTCCTTTTAGAAATATGTTTCCATTTAGAACAAAGAAATTTTTCTTTGACTCGAGGAGCTATAATTTCATTCTGTTATTATTTTGGGGAAAATACACACACATAAAACCCACAAGGAAAGTATTACCAAAATCTAATTATATTAGTAATCAAATCTATATGATTTATGTAAATGCATTTCAGAGTTTGGGATAATGAGGAAGACTAGTATGCTGGTCTCCAAGTACTTGGGTGGACTTCCCCGGTCTTGCCTACAGTCATCTGTGTGGGACACATGGGGTTAGTTCAGGGAGAGTATCCGGACTGGCGTTGCCATCTGATGTTGCAGACTTTCTGGCAGATATTGGTGCCCAAGTCATATTTTATTGACTCCATTTGGATTTTCGTTCCTGTGGTTTTTGACCTTGCTTTTTATAATGCATACCAGTCTGTCCTACACTCAGCTTACATTTAAGCCACAACTTGTAGGAAGCTGTATGGTGTTTTATAAAATCAGATTGCTTTCAGCCATTGGGCCTTTAAATGTACTTTTGGAACTTTATACCAGTTGATTAAGGCTGAGAACTTAATTTTGGACTTTTTTTTTCTTCTGAAGAGCTCGTTCTGGTTTTGAAAAATTACCTTTTTTAAAAACTTAATATGACACTTATATAGTGACAGGAAGCTTGGAATCAGATCTTTCAGGAAATAGAAGCATCATTTTGTGAGTTGTTTTTTTGAATTTACAGCCCTCATCCATATGGAATGTTCACTTTCCTCAGAGACTGTACAAACTGATTGAATAGAATCAGGAATGTCTTCATTCCTTCTTCTTTGAAGGCTTATGAGGCAGGGGGAGATGTAGATAGGAGGGTTTTGTTCCCCTGTATAGAAAATGCTGTTTCCCCAGTTAAAAAGTTCATTGTAGTCAGAGGTAACCTAGGTACCCTAGAGCAGGAAATGAGTAAAGTATACTAGCAATGGAATATTTATTATACAGAAGAGCGAAGCAACAGCTCAGTACAAGGGTACTTCTCAGAAATGTAACGTTGAGTGAGGAAAGTAGGAAACAGAAGATGATTTAAGGCATAGTATTATTTATTTAGTCACACATGAAACAACATTACAAAAGATGGATGTATATTTAACACATTAACAATAAATAGGTGTCTCTGGGGGATTGTAATGGAAGAAGGGGAAATATAAGGAAACAAGAGCCTTGCATAGTGCCATGACAACAGTAAAGAGATATGACACTGAATCACCTTCTGTACATGAGCTCCAAAAATTTTCAAAGGAGTCTATTATAACATTCTAATCATAAGTGCTAAAATCAGGGACTTCCCTGGTGGTCCAGTGGTTAGGACTTCGCCTTCCAATGCAGGAGTTGCAGGTTTGATCCCTGCTTGGGGAACTAAGATCTCACATGCCTTGTGACCAAAAAGAAAAAGAAAAAAACCAAAATATAAAACAGAAACAGTATTGTAGCAAATTCAGTAAAGACTTTAAAAATAAAATGGTCCATATCAAAACAAAAATCTTAAAGAGTAAGTGCTAAGTATAACACAAATCAGTTATAATGCAAGTTATAACACAAGTAGTCATTCTCAATCTTGGTCAAACATTTCAGTCTTCTTAGAGGAACCTGAGAGTCTTTTTTTAAAAGTGTTTTTTTTTTTTTGTTTTTTTTTTGCTGCTCAGTTTGGTTCACTTCAGTTCAATCGCTCAGTCGTGTCTGGCTCTTTGTTTGCAACTCCATGGACTGCAGCACGCCAGGCCTCCCTGTCCGTCACCAACTCCCAGAGTTTACTCAGACTCATGTCCATTGAGTCAGTGATGCCATCCAACCATCTCATCCTCTGTCATCCCCTTCTTCTCCCGCCTTCAGTCTTTCCCAGCATCAGGGTCTTTTCAAATGAGTCAGTTCTTTGCATCAGATGGCCAAAATATTGGAGTTTCAGCTTCAGCATCAGTCCTTCCAATGAGTATTCAGGACTTATTTCCTTTAAGATTGACTGGTTGGATCTCCTTTCTGTCTCCTTTCTGACTCTCAAGGGTCTTCTCCAACACCACAGTTCAAAAGCATCAATTCTTTGGTGCTTAGCTTTCTTTATAGTCCAACTCTCACATCCATACATGACTACTGGAAAAACAATAGCTTTGACTAGACAGACTTTTGTTGGCAAAGTAATGTCTTTGCTTTTTAATATGCTGTCTAGGTTGGTCATAACTTTGCTGCTGCTGCTGTACCATATCACCCAGCCTTTGTTTAAAGATTTACATTTTTAACAAAGCTTTGACACTCATGGTCTTACTCGCTCCCCCACAGTAACTATAAACCTAAAGGAGTTTGGGAAACTGGAAGCAGCACTCAGTCCAATTGCTAGCTCTCTATTAGTGCTTTTGCTAAAGCGCCTTATACCCTCTTCCGATTAAGCAGTGGGCATCTGCTGCTTCTACCTTCTAGGTGGCCTGGGAATAAAGGAATGGCTATATTTCTTCAGTTGCAATGTGACCATGGGAACAGATAGGACCCGCTCCTCCCACTTTGACCTGTGGGAATGCTGATTTCTTGACTGTAATGCTTCTGATTTCATTGGACCAGAAGGGGACCTGGGTGCTGGTATGTGTTAAAGGCTCCCACATGGTTCTGTTTGTTATACAACCAGGGTTGAGAACCACTGAGTTGAGTTTCTTAAAGAAGAAAGAAAAAAATGTGTGGCAAGCGATAACATTGCCAAGGAAATCGCAAATGGACGCAATACTTAGACACTTCTCTTCTGCCGCTTTAGGGTATCAGCTCAATTCTGCTGAATGTGTGGATATCCGCTTGAAGAGGGTGGTTCCTGACCATTATTGCCATTACTACCCTGAAAATGTGAAACCAAAACCCAAACTGAAGGAATGCAGCATGGATCCTTGCCCATCAAGGTTTGTATCACTGCGCTTTGGTATATGTATAGAATGGAATATTACTCTGCTATTAAAAGTAATGCAGTTGAGTCTGTTCTAATGAGGTATATGAACCTGGAACCTGTTATACAGACTGAAGTAAGTCAGAAGGAGAAAGATAGATATCATATATTAACACATATATATGAAATCTAGAAGGATGGTACTGATGAGCCTATTTGCAGGGCAACAATGGGGACACAGACATAGAGAACAGACTCGTAGACACAATGAGGAAAGGAGAGGGTGGGATGAGTTGAGAGAGTGACATGAAAACATACATTACCATATTTAAAACAGACAGCTGGTGGGAATTTGCTATATGACACAGGGAGCCTGTATGACACAGGCTGATTCACGTTGATGGATGGCAGAAACCGTCACAATTTTGTAAAGCAGTTATTCTCCAATTAAACATTTAAAAAAAGAAATCAACGGCAGCTGGGACTGATCCATCCTTATCAAGCAACACAGTTCCATTGCGTGACCTTGAATGTACCCTGGTGGCAGGTACCTGCGAACCCATTTATAACCGTGGTCAGGAGGCATTAGGCTCATCTGCTCACTCATCTGGTTCACGCTTGTGGGCTCTGTGTCCATGTGCTGTGACCTTTCACTTTTCGTCATGGACCTCTCTGAGCATGTCTTCTGTATACAACATGAAAGGTGTCTTCATTCAAGTACATCTAGTCCACCTACCAGCTGTGAATATCGATAATTCACCATTTTAGCTTTTTAAACTGGGTTACTGATGACCACATTTCAACTTTTGAAGTGTTCACCTTAAACTCAGCATAAATAATGCATAGTGCAGGAAGTACAGAGTTTGACTGCTAGAGCAGAAAAGCTATGCATAAACCATCCTGCTGCATAATTTAGTACCTGGTGACTTGGATTGCCAGGAGTTGGCAATCCAACTTCTGGATTGGGGAAGTTGGATTGGGGAAGTTTCTTGGCTTTGCTACAGGATCCTAAAATAACAGCACACTATCAAGTCCCAGAATCCCCCAGCTCTCTGCCAGCTGGCTGAGGCAGTGTGCAAGTGGAAAGGGAAGCGTTCTCAGTGGATTTCATTTCCTATCTTGAAGCTGTGCATTTCCTGTAATCCCAGGTGTACACAATCACGAATAGAGGCCTTTTTAAAAGACAGATTCTGTTAAACAAAGTGGTTTTCTAAAGATCCTGCTAATAAGACAGTATGTTAATATCATGAATTTATTTTATCACAATAATTTAAGAGGATAAAAGGGAATAAATAGATTTATCAAAATTAAGAGATGAACATGTACTACTTTAATGAGTATATACTGCTAGCTTCATTTTCTTCATTTTCATATAGAATTAGGTAAGTTGTATATCAGAGATGTCCCTAAAAATTAAGGAGATGGTAGCAGAAGTGTGCAAGTGGAAAGGAAATTTGGGGGGAAATGGTTCAGAACAGTTGGCATATTAAATGTCAATATAATTTGAAAGAGCTCTGTCTTTTGTCATATGACATCTGTACTAGTCAAATGAGTAAATGTATTGAGTAGTAATTATATTCTCACAATTTCATTTCTAGTGATGGATTTAAAGAGATCATGCCCTATGACCACTTCCAGCCTCTCCCTCGGTGAGTTATGTGTCTCCTCTTCCTTTCTGTAATATGCTCTAAGCAGTTTGCAAGGAGCTTTAGTATCTGTGAAAGGTGAAAGTGAAGTCGCTCAGTCATGTCCAACTCTGCGACCCCATGGACTGTAGCCTACCAGTCTCCTCAGTCCATGGGATTTTCCAGGCAAGAATACTGGAGTGAGTTGCTATTTCCTTCTCCAGGGGATCTTCCCGGCCCAGGGATGGACCCTGGGTCTCCCGCGCTGCATGCGGACTCTTTATTCTCTGAGCCACTGGGGAGGCCCATAGTGTCTGTAGCAGTAGTCTTCAGTGTGTGAGACTAGACCATTTACAGAGAGCTAAGGGGACAAAGACTTTCATTACATAAGATTTTTCTAAGAATTATACGGAATAGGCTGCCTCAAAGGTAATATTTTCTGTCACTGGAGATGTCAAGCATGCATTTATACCTAGGTATTATAGAGGGGAACTTCCCTGGTGGCTGAGTCAGTAAAGAATCTGCCTGCAATGTGGGAGACCTGAGTTTGATCCCTGGGTTGGGAAGGTCCCCTGGAGGAGGGTATGGCAACCCACTCCAGTATTCTTGCCTGGAGAATCCCCATGGACAGAGGAGCCTGACAGGCTACAGTCCATGGGGTCGTAAAGAGTCAGACATGACTGGGTGATTAAGCACAGCACGTTACAGAGGGAGCTAACACATTCCAGTTGATTAGATATTTGCATTCCCTTTTATACCTAGACATGTTAGGATGGTTCTTTCTGACTGACTTTGTATGATTCCCTGGTAATGCTGTCCATTGATGTTTTATACTTTAGAGTCAGATTGAAGATGCTTTCACACAATGGCCCTGTTATAATATACTGGGGCAGGAGTGTTACTCCCATCTGACAATAACCTTCAGGACCAAGGAGTTAAGACAGCACAGTGTGTGTAGTAGTTAAGATTAAAGTCTTATCACTGTACTTGTTGCAATCAACTTTGCAAACTTGAAGCAAGCAACAAATGAATAATGTGTTTTCAATTGTTTGCTTTTGAGCTGGGAACATAACCCTTGGACTGCATGTTCAGTGTCCTGTGGAGGCGGGATTCAGAGGCGGACCTTTGTGTGTGTGGAGGAGTCCATGCACGGAGCGATACTTCAGGTGGAAGAATGGAAGTGCATGTACGCGCCCAAGCCCAAGGTGATGCAAACCTGCAATCTGTTTGACTGTCCCAAGTGGATCGCCATGGAGTGGTCTCAGGTAAGATTTGAGAATATGCCACTTCTAATTCAGTCTCAGACTTTAATGATTATTTGCTCTGTGGCCAATACTGTACTGGGCAACATGGTGGATGCAGAAGTTGTATGTGAACATGGTTCCTACTCCTGAAGAGCTGAGAAGACAGTTGAAGGATGATGTGAGGGAGAATGTTGGAGGCATCAGAGCAGGTAAGAATGATTGAGAACCATGGTATATCTGAAAGGAACAGGGATTGAAACAGAGTTATTTGGAAAGTCTTTGTTGCCCTTATATTGCTGAACCCATGTTTCAGATTCTCAGACTTTAACCATGCAGGAGCCTAGAGAAGGCATCACTGTGGGGTATGCCTAAGCCTGGATGGTGGAGTAAAGCAGAAATGACACCGAATGACTGGAGGTTGAAAAGGCCCTGATTCATCTGGATTAAAGAGAGAACTCATTAAGAATTGGAAGGCTAAGACAGAGATGCTAAAACTGACACTGGAAGTGTGTTCTTTTTTAAAATATTTATTTATTTTACTTGGCTACACCAGATCTTACTTGAGTCATGTGGGATCTTCGATCTTTCCTGTGGCATGTGGGCTCTTTTTAGTTGTGTCATGAGGAATCTTTAGTTGTGGCATATGGGATCTTGTTCCCTGACCAGGGATTGAAACTAGGCCTCCTGCATTGGGAGGGCTGAGTTCTAGCCACTGGACCACCAAGGGAGTCCCTAGAAGTGTATTCTTGATCTGGTGGTTACTATGAAGCTTCACTCTTTTTGTTGAAGAGAGTAAATGTGTTATATTTTAAGTAAATGAGGTAAGATAGACTGATGCTGGGAAAACCCAGAGGCAGGCAGCCTATTTGGAAGCCACTGAGGTATCATTGTTCAGTCACTAAGTCGTGTCTGACTCTTTGGGGCCCTTTGCACTGCAGCATCCCAGGCTTCCCTGTCCTTCACTATCTCCCGGTCTTTACTCAGATTCAAGTCCATTGAGTTGGTGATGCTCTCTAACCATTTTATCCTCTATTGTCCCCTTATCTTGCCTTCAGTCTTTCCCAGCATCAGGGTCTTTTCCAATGAGTCAATTCTTTTACTCAGGTGGCCAAGAGCTTCAGCTTCAACATAAGTCCTTTCAATGAATATTCAAGGTTGATTTCCTTGAGGATTGACTTGGCTTGATATCCTTGCTGTCCAGGGGCCTCTCAAGAGTCTTCTCTAGCAGCACTGTTCGAAAGCATCAGTTCTTTGGTGCTCAGCCTAACTCTCACATCCATCCATGACTACTAGAAAAACCATAGCTTTGATTAGATGGACCTTTGTCAGCAAAGTAGTGTTTCTGCTTTCTAATACAACATCTAGGTTTGTTAAAGCTTTCCTTCCAAGGAGCAAGCATCTTTTAATTTCATGGCTGCAGTCACCATCCTTAGTGATTTTGGAGCCCAAGAAAATAAGATTTCTCACTACTCCCACTTTTTCCCTTCTATTCACCATGAAGTGATGGGACTGGATGCCATGATCTTAGTTTTTTGAATGTTGAGTTTCAAGCCAACTTCTTCACTCTCGTTTTTCATCCTTGTCAAGAGGCTTCCTTCTCACTTTATGTCATTAGGGTGATATCATCTGTGTGTCTGAGGTTGTTGATATTTCTCCTGGCAATCTTGATTCCAGCTTGTGATTCATCCAGCCTCAGCATTTGAAATGATGTACTCTGCATAAAAGTTAAGGAAGCAGGGTGACTATACAACCTTGACGTACTCCTTTCCTAATTTTGAACAAGTCCATTGTTCCATATATGGTTCTAACTGTTGCGTTTTGACCTACATACAGGTTTCTTAGGAGGCAGGTAAGGTGGTCTGGTATTCCCATCTCTTTAAGAATTTCTTGAAGATGGGTCTATGCTGCAAAAGGCTTCCATATCCTCTGAAACTCTTCTCTGACATTTTAAGAAACATCTATGGACTTAGGAAAGAATCTTCAAGCTTTATGAAGCAGTGGTGAAATCATTATTTTGACAGCAGGAGGCTCTGGGATGGAATTCCACTTGGCCTCTTAGGAACTACTTGACTTTGAGGAAGGTCCTTAGTTGGTGGGTTGTTGATTGGCTCATCTGTTAAATAGGAATGAAGTGGTTGACTTGCCAGTGTATCAGAACCCTTAGTGAGATCACGTCTGCAGAACACTGTCTGTTCTGTGGCATGTGCCCAAGGCTTCTTGACTTCTTCCAGGGGTGGATCCAGGATTGGTGGGACCTGAAGTTTAAATAATATGGAGGTGACTTTTAAAAATTTTTATTTTGTTCAAGTATAGTTGATTTACAATGTTGTGTTAATTTCTGCTGCACAGCAAAGTGATCAAGTTATACATAGTTATACATTCTTTTCTCATATTCTTATCCAGTATGATTTATCACAGGGCATTGAATATAGTTCCCTGTGCTATACACTAGGACCTTGTTGTTTATCCATTCTATATGCAACAGTTTACATCTGCTAATCTCAAACTTCCAGCCTATCCCTCCCCTACCAAGGAGGTGACTTTTTAAGAAAAAAGAATACAAAACACAAATATTGAGTATCTAAATAAATATTTAGAATAATGAAATTGTAAGAAATTACAAGTATTTTAAAGTTGACAACCCTAATGTGACTCTGGACTTGAGTTAAGAATAATATATCAGTATTGGCCTAATGCAAGATATTAATATTGGGGGATACTGTGTGTAAGGAAGAGGGGGCATATGGGAACTCTTATACTAACTGATCAGTTTTTCTTTTTTAAAATTATTTTATTTTTATTGCACTATAATCACTGCTCAATTTTTCTGTAAACCTTAAGTAGTCCTAAAAATTAGTCTTGATTAAAAAAAATGCATACATACATATATACTTACCAACATAATGTACATAAACTGCAAAGATATCCTGGATATTCATGACTTGAAAAAATTCCATTCATAGGCAACAGTACCTTCTAAATCATAAATAAATTATTCAAGAAAAGAAATGCTGACAACACAAAATTCACAAAATTTAGAGAATATAACATAATGTTTTCATTCATTTTAACTGCCTTATTACACCTATAGTATTTTTTCCTACATTTTTGGCTGAATACTCTTAAGAGGGCCTTTTCATATGATATTTTTGCAAGATAAGTTTCTATACACAGAATAGAAAGGTAATCCTGTAGCATGGTTCAGCAAGATTTGATATCTTTTTAATTAATTGTTTCAAAAGGTTTATTTGTATAGAAAGATTTTAGGACATTTCAATATTTCTTGTGCTGTGACCTCACCTGAAATACTTTTCAAAGTGAGAATTGGAAGTAATCTTGCAAGGGAGGGGCCCTGAAGCATAAGAATCATGGGAAATTAGTCTCCATCCCCTTTCTTATGTAATATTTATCTGATGATCTTTTGTGTTTAATATTCATGTAGAAGAATTTCACTGACTTCTCTTTTTATCTCTGAAGTGCACAGTGACTTGTGGCCGAGGGTTACGTTATCGAGTTGTGCTGTGCATCAACCACCGTGGACAGCACGTTGGTGGCTGTAACCCACAACTGAAGTTACACATCAAAGAAGAATGTATCATTCCCATCCCCTGTTATAAACCAAAAGGTAAATTTGTGGTGCATTTTAAAGTGAAATCAGGTGGTGCTTTACAGCTCTCTTACTAATACTGCAGTATTTGCATTTAAACATACTAACTTTCTTACAAAAACTATTCGCTGACAGATTGACCTGTCCGCCTAGATAAAGAAGTTAAACCTATGTCATTAATTGATCTTGAAGAGAAACTTAGATCTTGTTGATTCAGTGCAGTAAGTCCCCTACATACAAACAAGTTCCATTCTGAGAGCTGGTTCATAAATCCAGTTTGTTTGTAAGCCCAACAAAGTTAACCTAGGTACCCAACTAACACAATTAGTTATATAGTAGTGTGCTATAATAGGTTTATCATACTTTTCACACAAACAATACATTAAAAAAAATAACAATAATAAAGGAAACACTTTTTTTTAAGTTGGAGGCTAATTACTTTACAATATTGTATTGGTTTTGCCATACACTGACATGAATCTTGCACGGGTGTACATGTGTTCCCCATCCTGAACCACTCTCCCATCTCCTTCCCCATCCTATCCCGTTATCAAGACAGTATGGTACTGGCATAAAGAAAACACTTTTAATCTTCCAGTAAGTACCTTAAGAAGTACAGTAGTGCAGAACATGGGCTGGCATCGATTGAACAGGCAAGAAGAGTTACTGACTGGAGAAGGGAGAGGTAGTGGGAGATGGTAGAGCTCAAGGATTGTTGGCAATTGGATACAGAAGACAGGCTGCAGTGTCACTCATGCCTGATGTTTATGGCACAGGTTCTGGTTCCTTGCTAAACCAGATGCACATTCACATCTTTGGAAGTTCACATCTTGAAGGGTCATATGTAGGAGACTTACTGTATAGGTACAGTGGTTCCTGTCTGTGTAGGCTTATATTAACATTTCTTAGTGGACATAACACATGGACCACAGCCTTGTCTAACTCAATGAAACTATGAGCCATGCCATATAGGGCCACCCAAGATGGACGGGTCATGGTGGAGAGTTCTGACAAAGCATGGTCCACTGGAGAAGGGAATGGCAAACCACTTAAGTATTCTTGCCTTGAGAACCCCATGAACAGTATGAAAAGGTCAAAAGATAGGACACTGAAAGATGAACTCCCCAGGTCAGTAGGTGCCCAATATGCTACTGGAGATCAGATGAGAAATAACTCCAGAAAGAAGTGGACATAAAATTAGTGATTCAGTGCCTGCTTTGAAAAAAAAGGAGGAGGAGGATGAAGAGAGAGAGGAATAGGAAAATTCCTACCTGTCTTCCACCAGAGTGGAAGGAACAGTGTCCTCTTCATTGTACGTCCTATTGTCTACCATGAACAAAGAAAACTTTCTAGACTGAAAGTCTAGATTTATAAATTAATCTCCAGTGTAGGTTTATAGATGCACTGAGAAACTTTTGTGTGGTTCCATTTGTTCCACATGAATTAGCAGACATGGGTAGCATCCATGGGTGAACAAACCTTGGCACCACCTCTTAGGTATGTATGTGTTCCCCTCTAGACAGGAGTCTTTCCATACATGCACTTTAGCAAGGTATTACCAATCCTTGTGACAAGTATTTCCTTTTGGAAATGGAAAAAGAATTACTCCCAAGTGTCAATGCCAAGGAATCGTCCTTATTGGCCCATTAGATAGGATGGTAAGATTCTTCTTCTTGATTTCTGGGTGCATTCTTCATACAAATAGCCTCATAAGCAACTAATTCTTCATTTCTTTCATGATGTCTGTCTTCTGGAAAAATCTCTGGTTTCCATGCAAGGTACAAATACTGATTATATAACTTCTTCAGGGAAGTCTTTTCTCCTTTTCTGCAGTCAGCGGTACTTTTATAGCCACTTTCTTAGCGTCTGTGATTTCTCCAAAGCAGTCCAAAATTATTTCCCTTCTCACTTCATAATTAGATGGTTTCTTTACATCTTAGGAAGCCTCAAAGGACAGAAAAGGGCACCAGCTTGCTCCTGCAGGCCAACTATAATTGGTAATCATCTCTCTTAACAACTGCAACATTTTAAAGTTTGAGTAAACCATAATACAGACTTTCCTCCTCGCAATTTTCTAAGCCTTCTATGTTATTTGCTTGTCTCTATTAATTTCTTCATTCAATGGGCAAAAAATGTGTGGCAAAAGAAAGCAAACTGATCTGGTTGAAATCAGAGCTTTAATATGCAAACAACAGAGATTGGTACTGATTTATAAAGGGTGTTTTTATGCTAACTTGAAGAATATATTCAACTGTGTCATGGGATTGTTTGGTTGCATTCTGATAATGTGTTAATTAAAAAAATACATGACAGAAATTTTTGGTTTCGTCCAGAAGCCACTTCATGCACTGTTCATTTGAAAAAAAAATTGATGACATCTTCAGTAAATAACAATCGCATGTCCAACTCTTGAATGATTAACAATAATTAAGCTTGTTGTTTATGTTCCTTTTTCCTTAGAAAAAAGTCCAGTGGAAGCTAAATTACCTTGGCTGAAACAAGCTCAAGAACTAGAGGAGACCAGAATAGCAACAGAAGAACCAACGTGAGTCCAGGACCTTTTATGGGAGTATTCAAGGCCTAGCCAGTTAACATGATATATGTCATTTTTGTACTCATTGGAGTACAATGATATGTTTCAAATCCAAATGACCTGGATTTGCAGACTCTAGAGAGCCTGAACTGGCTAGAAGTCTCCTCATTGCACAATTCAGCAGTCTTACTTTGGCAGCATCTACGAGAAGCACAGAAAAGAACAGTGCCTTTTAACTCAAAGCAGACTCAGTAGTCTGTTACAGTTACCAGATTGGGGATAATATCTAGATCTAGATTAACGCGTATGATTTGACCAAAGACCATCACAATGTTAACCAAATAAACTGATCATTCCACGGATAAGACATGGCCAATGTTAATCAAACCAGTTAAGCTGAAATGTAACATGATGGCCTGAGTGATTATCAGGAGAACTCCCAGAGCTGCTGTGGTATGGGGCATGGAAGAACATGGCACCAGTAGTCTTGGAGCCTAGAACCACCACTTGTAACCATGTGACCTTAGACAAGTCTTTCATTTTTCTGTGTCTCATTTTCCTTACTTATAAAATAAGAAGGCCAGGCTTAAACTCTAGAGAGATCAAAAATCCAATGACTTCTGTCCACACGGGATTTGGCAAGTTTGGGCTGTCATGGTATCCATGAAGATATAGTATCAAGAGCATGTCAAGAAACATTCTGGAGGTGAAGGTATGGGGACCTAAAGAGAGCAAGGAATCTAAGACGTTGAATCTCGCCCAGGAATCTAGAAGCAAAACAGCATCAGTGATAGACTTGAGGAATTGGACAGGACAGCTGATTCCACATCAGATATGTGAAGCCTGCAGTGCTGACAGGCTGTCACAGGGAGAACAATTGACAGGGTGTCAGAGCAAAGCGGATCTCAGAGGCTGGGTGGCCAGTCTCTCTCTTCAACACCTTCAGCAGGGGCACAGTTCACTGCATTGAGAGCTCTTTCTTGGATTGAGCAACCTGAGTTATTTGCAGTACTTTTTTTCCTTTTGAGCCAAAATATAACCTCCTTCCAATTTCTGCTTTCTGAAACAGAAAAAAACACATCTATGCCTCATCCCACGTGACAAGTTTTCACAAATTTGCAGAAAACTAAATCCCTAGAGCACTATCTTTCCCATCATTCTTAGCCTTTTCAATGGTTTTTGTGTATTGTTTTTAGATCCCTTACCAACCCCGTTGCTCCTCTCAGAACAGGCTCTCATCCGTCAATGTCCATTTTCACTGTGGTGCAACCCAGCAGTGAGCCCCATGGGCACATAGATTCCTTTTCTTTGAGAAGGCACCTTGCTTCCAGTGACCAAGGGGGCCAAGAAAACTGGCACATCACATTTATGACATGTGCAGAACATCTGGATGTGAACCCAGAAGACATTGTGAACACCGTGAGGTGAATGACCCCAGAATAACTGACTGAAGAGAGGAGTGTTTGGCTCATGGCGGAAGTGTGGAGGTTTAGGGGAAAAGTGGAGTCAAAAGTCGATCTTGGGAACTGCCCTGGTGGTCCAGTGACTAAGACTTCAAGCTCCCAATGCAGGGGGCCCAGGTTTGATTCCTGGTCGGGAAACTAGATCCCACATACCACAACTGAGAGTTTGCATGCTGACACTAAAAAGATCCTACATGCCACAAGTAAGATTGAAGATGAAGATTAAAGATCACCCATGCTGCAACAAAGAGCCAGTGCAGCCAAATCAACAAATATTTTTTAAAAAGTGGATCGTGTGTTCAAAAAAAAAAAAAGTGAATCATGAAAGAGTAGGAGTTGTCAATGGAGGAAGGAATAGATCCAAGGAAGGCTCACTGTTAGCAAGGGAGCAAAGCCTTAAAGGAGAGGTGCAGCAGATAGTATTCAGACTTCACAGGAAACCAAGGAACAGCTTTGGGGACTGAGGAGAAGCTGTTTTGTCTGACAAAGTCTTCCTCAGTTAATTTTATTTTTATAATTAATTAATTTATTTTACTTTGCCATATTGTATTGGTTTTGCCATACATTGACTTGAATCCGCCATGGGAGTACATGTGTTCCCCATCCTGAACCCCCCTCCCACCTCCCTCCCCACCCCATCCCTCTGGGTTATCCCAGTGCACCAGCCCTGAGCATCCTGTATCATGCATCAAACCTGGACTGGCGATTCATTTCACATATGATAATTTATATGTTTCAATGCCATCTTCCCATATCATCCCACCCTCACCCTCTCCCATAGGGTCCAAAAGACTGTTCTATACATCTATGTCTCTTTTGCAGTCTCACATACAGGGTTATCATTACCATCTTTCTAAATTCCATATATATGCGTTAGTATACTGTATTGGTTCTTTTCTTTCTGGCTTACTTCACTCTGTATAATAGGTTCCAGTTTCATCCACCTCATTAGAACTGATTCAAATGTGTTCTTTTTAATGGCTGAGTAATATTCCATTGTGTATATGTACCACAGCTTTCTTATTATGAGTGATGTTGAGCATCTTTTCATGTGTTTGTTAGCCATCTGTTTGTCTTCTTTGGAGAAATGTCTGTTTAGTTCTTTGGCCCACTTTTTGATTGGTTCATTTATTTTTCTGGAATTGAGCTGCAGGAGTTGCTTGTATAGTTTTGAGATTAATTCTTTGTCTATTGCTTCATTTGCTATTATTTTCTCCCAATCTGAAGGCTGTCTTTTCACCTTGCTTATAACCAGGGCCCACATCAGACAGTTCCTGGCAGGGCAAACTCAGTTAATTTTAGAACAGTAGCATTCAAAGTGTGGAGAAGTAAAATGCTGCGGATCTTTAAGGAATGAATTCTGAATTACAAGGAAATGGGACAATGGGTACTTGACTATTCAAGAAGGAAGACTGGTAGTCAAGTTGATGAAAAGGAAGGGTTATAGGTATGTGTTTGATTTTTGTTGTTGTTTTTCATTTGAAGTTAGGGCAACCTAAACATATTAAAAAGGTCATCAGGATTTTAGACAGTTACCATCTCTAGACTTCTCAATTGTACAAGGAGGGTATTAGGCTAAATGCTACCAGAAGCTTCTCCCAGCTCTTATCTCCTATGGTTTTGTAAGGAATGGAATCTAGAGAAGAAAAGGAACTTGGACACCTGCAAGGGAGTCTGTAGCTGTCACACAAGGATGGTCAGGGAGTTCTCAGTCTTGAATGATACATCCTGCCAGGGTCTCTTCTCGGAACACAGTTAGATGTTATCTAGTATTTGTTCTCTATGTCTGTGTCTGTATTTCTGCTTTGTAAATAAGATCACCTATACCATTTTCTAGCTTCCACATGTATGTGTTAATAGATGATATTTATTTTTCTTTTTCTGACTTCACTCTTTATGACATTCTCTAGGTCCACATTCCCCATGTCTCTACGGATAATCCAATATTGTTCCTTTTTATGTGTGAGTAATATTCCATGGGGCTTCCCTGGTGGCTCAGATGGTAAAGAATCCACCTACGATGCAGGAGACCTGGGTTCAATCCCTGGGTTGGGAAGATCCCCTGGAAAAAGCAGTGGCAACCCACTCTAGCATTCTTGCCTGGAGAATCCTCATGGACAGAGGAGCCTGCTGGGCTACAGTCTATGGGTTCATCAAGAGTCAGACATGACTGAGCGACTAAACACAGCACAGCAATATTCCATGTGTGGCTCATTCATTTTGCTATACAGTGGACACTAACAACATTGTAAAGCAACTATACTCCAATAAAATTAATTAAAAAAAACACAATTAGATCACCATTGCTAATCCTTCTGCGTGTTCTCTCTTGGTTAAAGGCTTTGCTGTCAGTTCCCTAGACTGGAAGCTTGCAGTCATTCTTGCCTCTTGCTCATGTTTCCCCTGTCTATAATTAACTAGAGTTGTGAAGTCATATCTACTAAAATCTCCATTGCACCTCTCCTTCTCTCCATCCCTACTATCACCTTTGTTCAGGTCTTGAAGTCACTTACCAGGACACCTACAACAACTTTCTAATTTGCTACCCACTTGATCTGAGCTGGTAAAGAATCTGCCTGCAATGTGGGAGACCTGGGTTCAGTCCCTGGGTGGGGAAAATTCCCTGGAGAAGGGAATGACTACCTACTCCAGTATTCTTGCCTGGAGAATTCCTTGCCTGTACAGTCCATGGGGTCGCCAAGAGTCAGACATGACTGAGAGACTTTCACTTTCACTTTTGATTTCCTCAGATTCACCTGGTCTGGCTAAGGCAGAAGTCTAATCTTTTCTTACAATGTTCATCATATCCCATTTCCCGAAGACTTATGCTTGTTGACCAGCCAACAAGTCATAGTGGGGTAGGTGTCACCCTTCCTGGCTCCCAGCCTCATCTCTGACCACACCCCCAGCCCCCAACTTAGACTGGAATGGGGTGCTCTAGCACTTGCTGCCGTTGACTGTTCCTTGCCTGTAACGAGCTGCCTCCTTCACTTTAACCATGTTCTCCTTTCTTTGGGAATGGCACCCACCTGGATTTTGAAAAAAGCTTTTTTTTTGGTTGGTACAGAAAATATTAAGCCTGTATGAAAGAGGAGAGAACAGTATGACAACCCCACCCATGAGTCTTATCTCTCAACTGCAACAGTTATCAACTCAGAGCCACTCTTGTTTCATCCGCACCACTGCCTCCACCCCCAGTGGGGCATTTTTGAAGCATACCCAGACAGCATGTCATTTCATTCATAAATATTTAAGTGTGTATCTTTAAAAGAGAAAGATCTATTTTCGATCATCAGAATACCACTGTAAAAAATTTTTTTTGGCCATGCCACATGGCATGTGGGATCTTGGTTCTCTGACCAGGGATGGAACCTGTGCCCTCTATATTGGAAGCTTGGAGTCTTAACCACTGGACCACCAGGGAAGTCCCCACAATAGCACTTTTTAAAGTGTGGTTCTCAGATTGCTTCTTTTAGAAGCACCTGTGATGCTATTTAAAATGCAGATTTCTGGACCTCGCCAAGTCAGGCATTCTGGGAGCATATTTTT